TGCAAATATACACTTTTTGAGGTTTGCATACAATTGATGCTTTCGCATGATTGTAAGAACTTGTCGGACGTGGTACTTGTGAACCTCAACGTCCGACTTTCCATCCATAGCTCGACTATGGATGAATACGTCATCGAAATAACTCGGCGCGAATTCTCGTACTGGCCTCAACAGATGTGATACACACCTGTTGAACGTGGCAGGGGCATTACTGAGCCCTTGTGGCATTACTAGCCATTCCCAGAGCATGCCTCTAGGCGTGCTAACTGCGGTATAGGGTATATCCCGTTCCCGCATTAGGATTTGATAGAAGCCATCCATCAAATCCATGGACGAAAAGATGGTACTCTTTGACATACCATCAATGATTACGTCGTTCCTTAGTATCGGCGTCCGAGCCGGTACCGTTGCAGCGTTCAATTTGTTAAACGCGTGCACTATCCGCCACCCTCCTGTTGCTTTTCGCACACAGAAGGTCGGAGAGCTATGTGGGGAAGTTGATTCCCTCACATGGCCCGCTGCTAAACGATCGGCAAAGAACTTGTCGATCGCAAGTACTTGTTCACGAGGCAGTGGCCACTGCTTCATGACACAGTACTTCGAGCCTGGTTTAAGCTCGACTTCGTGTCGAATACCTTTATCCTTCGGTAATTCGCACGGAACAGTTTCAGGGAATACATCCTTGAATTCAACCAAATCTTCATAGAGAGGATTTTCCTTGAGCGATTCCCATGATTGGGACTCATATCGCTCAATTCGTGTCTTTTCATCTAGGACACTCTCGTCCATAGATGAACTACTGAGAACTCTCTCGTTCTCAGTAAACACTGTTGCTGACCTTATGTCGGTTACATACTCGTCTTCAGCGACGAGTATGCAGATCTGCTTGACTTTGCCACTACGCAGATCACGCAAGAATCTTTTATGTTCGAGCGTTGGCAACTGAGTGATCTCCGAAGTTAACTTCGGAGGCGCAATCAGATCAAGTGTATAAGCGCCTACACTTGATCCGTTATTGACTATGACATTCAATGTCTCTGTCATTTCCTGGGGACTTATTCCCTCAGGCTTCGAAGGACTTATTCCTTCGTCTTCCCGGGGACTTATTCCCGCGGGTTTCGGGGAACTTATTTCCGCCGTATTTGTAATCTTGGGACTTATTCCCTTTACTTCCTCTAGCTGGGGTTGCGCAACCACAGCGAGATCCTCTACGAAAGACTCTCCAGTCGATCTAGGATTATCGTTTCGCTTAACCTGAGCGATCGATTGTTTCTCTTCTAGATGTTCCCCTCTAGGGATACATCTTTGTCCCAGTCCACCCGACTTATTCGAGTGGTGGACCTTCGGCGCAGCCTGTGTTTCCTCACAGCCGCCGGAACTTTGCTCCGAAGTGTAACCGTTTGGTACACTAAGGTTTTGTGCAGTCGTACTAACGACCGTACCACAAGTGAGGCCATCGCACTCACTCGTAGTACATCCACACGCTTGCGGACTCTCCAAAACGTTCATCAGATGGCCATCTCATGAACAAGCGGCAGGCATCGTTACTGTCCGATGTTGCCAGTTTACCCGTGGTTCGTACCTTCTGAGCCACGGTATTCCAAGGATGACATTAAATTTGTCATCCAAATCCAATACGATAAAGTCATCGTCGTATTGGGTATCTTCTAGCATATAGTGGATCTTCACTATACGCTTCATGACGGTTACGGATGCGCCTGTCGCAAGACGTACCGTCATCCTCGTAGGAGGTGTGTCACATTCACTGAATTTAAAGTGACCATCTTCTAGCGATTGGCGTCGCACAAAATTGTTGGACGCCCCACAATCGACTAGAGCTCGAAGGGACAACTTATTCGTCACTTCGAGTTTCAAGGTAATGAGTGAGATCTCATTACCTAGAGCAGCAACGCACAATGTCTGTGTGTTGGGAGCAACCTTCATCAAGAGGCCTACAAATTCTCTTGACGTTGCTGGACCAGTAGGGTTCTCCGCACCTACTGATCCTGTCCGTTTTTTGACGGTCCATCCCGTTGTTGCGTCTTTGCACCAACTGCGGACCCTCGTCCCTGCCCCTTTCTCATGGGTGGACGGTCACTACGCCCAGTGTCGCGAGACACTGGACGAGGGGCACTACACTCGTAAGCGTAGTGTCCTGTCTTTTGACATCTGTTGCATCTCTGCAACTTCTTGTAGCCTGTAGAGCGAGCCTTCTCGCTCTCTACATAACAGAGTTCCATCGGCTCTGGACCTCCGTTGTCATATCGTCTCGGTTGACGATATGATGTCGAGCTGGCGCGAGCCTGTCTCAGACTGAAGTCTTCCTGCTCCGCAATTGAAATGGCTTGTTCTAGTGAATCTAGTTCAAGCCGGAACAGGTGAGTCTTGACGGGACCATCCGCAAGACCCTGCATGAACACCGAAACCAACGTGTGTTCATCCACCGGGTTGGAACTTATACAACTCGTGAGATGTCGTATATGTTGAGCGTAAGCGTGCACATCACGCTTACCCTGTTTGAGCTTCAAGAGTTCGGTTCGAGCTCTGAACTCAGCTCTAGGCGGTTCAAACGTTTGTCTGAGCCGCGACTTGAAGACTTCCAACGACCCAAACGCGTATGGGTCGTGCAGCTTGAGCCCCAGTGCCCAAGTCTTGGCACGTCCTGCCAGATTTGACTGGGCAAATGCAACTTGCATATCCCCGTCGTCGATGCGACGCGCCCTTATGGCGTCATCCAATTCGACGAACCATCTCAAGAGGGAGTCTTCTTCGACCCCCCTATACTTGGAGATGTCAATCTTCAAAGTCTCGGGCCGACGCGAGTGCATCGACCCGCCAGCAGCAGCCTGCTGCTGTCTCAACAGTTCAATCTGTTGAGCACCCTGTTCTCTCAACAACTCTGCTTGTTGAGAACCTTGTTGGTGAAGCAAGGCTACTTTCTCGCGTTCTGCGTCAAGTTCATTCTGAATGAACTTGGCGATAGTAGCATGTTGGGCATCTCTATTGAGAGCCTCTAGCATGACGCTAACAGCATGGATGCCCATGGTCGAACCCATTCGTTCAACCGCATCCCATTCGACATCGCTCAAATGGGAGTAGCCGTCACGCGTAGCGTGAAAGCTTTGGTCATCTTCATCATCCAACATATTCATGTTGGATGTGAACGCGGTCCTTGGACGGACTACGAAGTGCTACCAGGTGTAACGGGGCACCCTGAAGCTTGTACTGGTGACAGTACAAGCTACTTATTCTGATAACAGAATAAGGCGGTGCCTCGTAACTTCACGTACACTCGTACGTGCAGAGGAAGACGGTAAGAAGAAGCGAGTACTTGGTTAGAGTAAAAAGTAGAACTGTATTTATAATAGTTAATGTCTGCAATAAATCACTATTTATCTTCATCTAACTATGTCTAAATACAAATGTGTAAATCAGTTATCTGCTCACCACTCATTGCGTGCGTCTGTCGTGGCGCGTCTTCGTTGGTTGATATAATGGCCTATATCAACCAATTAGGAACTACTTGGAAGTGCTACAGAATATTGTCCTTATGACAATATTCTGAGAATATAACTCTTATAGTTATATTCTATTAACAATTTCTTATAAATTGTTATGTAACGATTCACCCCGTTACAGGCCACCCTCACGACGAGCATATGTACTGTGAGCTTGACTGTTCTTCGAGGCGCCTCCGACAGTAGAGGAAAGTGGTTTACAACACTCCTCCTGTACCAACCAAACCATCCAAAAACCATCTTGCTCCCACGTCGTGGTGTTGTGCTGATCCACAGAACCGTGGCGATGATGAGATAGTGTCACTGCTCTGGAATGCATGACTTGATACAGTACCAAAAGTCGAAGAACCATAAAACACTTCCACAACAGCAAGTACCCGATCGAACCACGAAGCAGATAAGACACGTTACTCGATGACAAGTGTTCCGAACAACTTGTTGTAAGTGTGCGATGTCAGTCATCTTGTGGACAGACCCTATGATGAAGCATAGCCAAGTGAGCATCCAGACGGCTTGTCTATCAGTTGCAGGCTGACACTCGGATCAGCCACCATCTCACCAGATCTTTCGGTGCTTCATTTGTCCGTCTGGTCTGCATTGTCTTGCAAGTATGGCCAACGGCTCATTTGCTCCTTCCTTGGTAGTCTCTCTGGCACGCAAGCATGTTGTATGTAACGGGGTGAATCGTTACATAACAATTTATAAGAAATTGTTAATATAACATAACTTTAAGAGTTATGTTCTCAGAATATTGTCATAAGGACAAATATTCTGTAGCACTTACGAGTAGTTCCTAATCGGTTGGTATAGGCTATTATATCAACAAACGAAGACGCGCCACGACAGACGCACGCAATGAGTGGTGAGCAGATAGTTGATTTACACATTTGTATTTAGACATAGTTAGATGAAGATAAATAGTGATTTATTGCAGACATTAACTATACTAAATACAGTTCTACTTTTTACTCTAACCAAGTACTCGCTTCTTCTTACCGTCTTCCTCTGCACGTACCAGTGTACGTGAAGTTACGAGGCACCGCCTTATTCTGTCATCAGAATAAGTAGCTTGTACTGTCACCAGTACAAGCTTCAGGGTGCCCCGTTACACCTGGTAGCACTTCGTAGTCCGTCCAAGGACCACGTTCACATCCAACATGAATGTGTTGGATGATGAAGATGACCAAAGCTTTCACGCTACGCGTGACGGCTACTCCCATTTGAGCGATGTCGAATGGGATGCGGTTGAACGAATGGGTTCAACCATGGGCATCCATGCTGTTAGCGTCATGCTAGAGGGCTCTCAATAGAGATGCCCAACATGCTACTATCACCAAGTTCATTCAAAATGAACTTGACGCAGGACGCGAGAAAGCAGCCTTGCTTCACCAACAAGGTTCTCAACAAGCAGAGTTGTTGAGAGAACAAGGTGCTCAACAGTTTGAACTGTTGAGACAGCAGCAGGCTGCTGCTGGTGGGTCTATGCACTCGCGTCGACCCGAAACCTTGAAGATTGACATCTCCAAGTATAGGGGGGTCGAAGAAGACTCCCTCTTGAGATGGTTCATCGAATTGGATGACGCCATAAGGGCGCGTCGCATCGACGACGGGGATATGCAAGTTGCATTTGCCCAGTCAAATCTGGCAGGACGTGCCAAGACTTGGGCACTGGGGCTCAAGTTGCACGACCCACATGCGTTTGGGTCGTTGGAAGTCTTCAAGTCGCGGCTCAGACAAACGTTTGAACCGCCTAGAGCTGAGTTCAGAGCTCGAACCGAACTCTTGAAGCTCAAACAGGGTAAGCGTGATGTGCACGCTTACGCTCAACATATACGACATCTCACGAGTTGTATAAGTTCCAATCCGGTGGATGAACACACGTTGGTTTCGGTGTTCATGCAGGGTCTTGCGGATGGTCCCGTCAAGACTCACCTGTTCCGGCTTGAACTAGATTCACTAGAACAAGCCATTTCCATTGCGGAGCAGGAAGACTTCAGTCTGAGACAGGCTCGCGCCAGCTCGACATCATATCGTCAACCGAGACGATATGACAACGGAGGTCCAGAGCCGATGGAACTCTGTTATGTAGAGAGCGAGAAGGCTCGCTCTACAGACTACAAGAAGTTGCAGAAATGCAACAGATGTCAAAAGACAGGACACTACGCTTACGAGTGTAGTGCCCCCTCGTCCAGTGTCTCGCAACACTGGGCGTAGTGACCGTCCACCCATGAGAAAGGGGCAGGGACGAGGGTCCGCAGTTGGTGCAAAGACGCAACAACGGGATGGACCGTCAAAAAACGGACAGGATCAGTAGGTGCGGAGCACCCTACTGGTCTAGCAACGTCAAGATAATTTGTGGGCCTCTTGATGAAGGTTGCTCCCAGCACACAAACGTTGTGCGTTGCTGCTCTAGGTAATGAGGTCTCACTCATTACCTTGAAACTCGAAGTGACGAATAAGTTGTCCCTTCGAGCTCTAGTCGATTGTGGGGCGTCCAACAATTTTGTGCGACGCCAATCGCTAGAAGATGGTCACTTTAAATTCAGTGAATGTGACACACCTCCTACGAGGATGACGGTACGTCTTGCGACAGGCGCATCCGTAACCGTCATGAAGCGTATAGTGAAGATCCACTATACGCTAGAAGATACCCAATATGATGATGACTTTATCGTATTGGATTTGGATGACAAATTTAATGTCATCCTTGGAATACCGTGGCTCAGAAGGTACGAACCACGGGTAAACTGGCAACATCGAACAGTAACGATGCCTGCCGCTTGTTCATCAGATGGCCATCTGATGAACGTTTCGGAGCGTCCTCAAGCGTGTGGATGTACTACGAGTGAGTGCGATGGCCTCACTTGTGGTACGGTCGTTAGTACGACTGCACAAAACCTTAGTGTACCAAACGGTTACACTTCGGAGCAAAGTTCCGGCGGCTGTGAGGAAACACAGGCTGCGCCGAAGGTCCACCACTCGAAAAAGTCGAGTGGACCGGGACAAAGATGTATCCCTAGCGGGGAACATCTAGAAGATAAACAATCGATCGCTCAGGTTAAGCGAAACGATAATCCTAGATTGACTGGAGAGTCTTTCGTAGAGGATCTCGCTGTGGTTGCGCAACCCCAGCTAGAGGAAGTAAAGGGAATAAGTCCCAATATTACAAATACGGTGGAAATAAGTCCCCGAAACCCGCGGGAATAAGTCCCCGGGAAGCCGAAGGAATAAGTCCTTCGAAGCCTGAGGGAATAAGTCCCTAGGAAATGACAGAGACATTGAATGTCATAGTCAATAACGGATCAAGTGTAGGCGCTTTTACACTTGATCTGATTGCGCCTCCGAAGTTAACTTCGGAGATCACTCAGTTGCCAACGCTTGAACATAAAAGGTTCTTGCGTGATCTGCGTAGTGGCAAAGTCAAGCAGATCTGCGTACTCGTCGCTGACGACGAGTGTGTAACCGACATAAGGTCAGCAACAGTGTTCACTGAGAACGAGAGAGTTCTCAGTAGTTCATCTATGGACGAGAGTGTCCTAGATGAAAAGGCACGAATTGAGCGATATGACTCCCAATCGTGGGAATCGCTCAAGAAAAATCCTCTCTATGAAGATTTGGTTGAATTCAAGGATGTATTCCCTGAAACTGTTCCGTGCGAATTACCGAAGGATAAAGGTATTCGACACGAGGTCGAGCTTAAACCAGGCTCGAAGTACTGTATCATGAAGCAGTGGCCACTGCCTCGTGAACAAGTACTTACGATCGACAAGTTCTTTGCCGATCGTTTAGCTGCGGGCCATGTGAGAGAATCAACTTCCCCACATAGCTCTCCGACCTTCTGTGTGCGAAAAGCAACAGGAGGGTGGCGGATAGTGCATGCATTTAACAAGTTGAATGCTGCAACGGTACCGGCTCGGACGCCGATACTAAGGAACGACGTAATCATTGATGGTATGTCAAAGAGTACCATCTTTTCGTCCATGGATTTGATGGATGGCTTCTATCAAATCCTTATGCGGGAACGGGATATACCCTATACCGCAGTTAGCACGCTTAGCGGCATGCTCTGGGAGTGGCTAGTAATGCCACAAGGGCTTAGTAATGCCCCTGCCACGTTCAACAGATGTGTATCACATCTGTTGAGACCAGTACGAGAATTCGCGCCGAGTTATTTCGATGACGTATTCATCCATAGTCGAGCTATGGATGGAAAGTCGGACGTTGAGGTTCACAGATACCACGTCCGACAGGTTCTTACAATCATGCGAAAGCATCAATTGTATGCAAACCTCAAGAAGTGTATATTTGCAGCAAGCGAAATACCACTTCTTGGGTGCATCGTTTGTAAGAATGGTGTATGTCCTGATCCCGAAAAGATCAAGGCGATCACCGACTGGCCTGTGCCGGTTGATGTCAAAGGTCTTCGAAAATTCCTTAGGCTAGCGGCGTATTTGCACAAGTATTCACGCAATTACGCCGAAATGACTGTGCACCTCTCTCGTTTGTTGAAAAAGAACGAGAGGTGGTTATGGAACGCTGAATGTCAACGCTCCTTTGAGGGTATCAAGTAGAGCTTGATACAATCCCCAGTCCTAGCAATAGCCGATCAGGACAGGCCGTTTCATGTGGTCTGTGATGCCAGCGATTTTGCAATCGGCTGTGCATTAATGCAGTACGATCTTGAAGGCGTTGAACGCGTCGTCTGCTATCAGTCGCGTCAGCTGCAACCAGCTGAGCGGAACTATCCAGTGCATGACAAGGAAATCCTTGCCGTGAAGTATGCACTCGCGAAGTTCAGAGTCTATCTATTAGGAGATAGACCCTTCGTTGTTTACACTGACCATGCGTCATTACGCACGGCAGTGAACAGCCCGCACCTTTCACAACGAATGGCGCGGTGGTTGTCATTCTTTGCGGAATACAACTTTACAGTCGAGTACAAACCAGGACGACTTAATGTCGTCGCTGATGCACTCTCACGTCGTCCCGACTTTGAAACAGTCGCGAAACCCAACAGTGAGACAGTCACTGTTGCGGTTATGACGTCCTCAGTCCCATCTACAACGTTGTATGATGATTTGAGGCGGGCATACGCCCAAGATGGTGAGATAGTGAAGTTGTTGTCACATCTCTCCCAACCATCTCGAGAATCGTTGAAATGATTGTCGTCTGCGTATCGATCTGCATCAGATCGATACACTACTCGTAACGGTTTACTGTATACAGCCGTTTCTGGTGACACACCACGTGTTGTCATTCCAGATGATACTGATCTGCGTTTGCGGATCATGTTCGAGTATCACGATGCTCCTATAGGAGGACATCGTGGCCGCGAGAAAACATATCTCACGGTAAGTCGAGACTTTTACTGGCCCCGCCAGTATCAGTTTGTGCGAAAGTATGTTCGCGCATGCGAAGTCTGTCAACGAGTGAAGTCAAGTCCTTCACTGCGTGCACCTTTACAGCCTCTACCGGTTCCGGCTGAGTGCTGGGAATCCATCTCCATGGATTTCGTCTTCGGGTTACCCAAAGACGCACGCGGGAATACGGGTATTCTCGTTTTTGCTGACAGATTCAGCAAAATGGTACACCTTGTGGCTGTACCAGAGACAATCACGGCAAGTGGCTGTGCTTGTGTCTTTATTGACACCATCTTCCGACTTCATGGGTTGCCCCGTGAACTCGTATCAGACAGAGATCCACGATTCACTGCTGATTTCTGGCGTTCCGTGTTCAAATCACTCGGAACGCGCTTGAAGATGTCGACATCTGATCATCCAGAGTCAGATGGTCAGACGGAACGTGCCAATCGTGTCCTTGAAGAGATACTTCGAGGATACGTACACTCCTTTAAGAGTTGGAGTGAGTTTTTGCCAATGGTAGAGTTTGCCATCAACAACTCGGTGCATGCGTCCACGACACATACGCCGTTTTACGTGAATGGCTTGCGCCATCCGCGTGTACCCACCTTACTAGAGTGTAACTCTGGTTTAAGGGGGGGAGGGACTCGCGCGAGCAAAAACCGATTTAGTTCACGCTCATCACGCTCTGACGAAGAAGTCATTGCGTTTGATGCCGATATCGATAACATCGATATCGAAGAAGATGATCCCAGTGAGAGTGCGGAAGCCCTCACTGAAGAAAAGGTTGATGTTGCTGCAGTGCGCTCACAGCGCACTGAAGCTAACGAGTCATCAGATGAGTTCATACTGGCTCGTGAAACGGTAGTCCGTTTTGTGCAAGACTCCATCGCTGAAGCGGTGGATAAGCAAAAGCAAAACGCTGACAAGAATGGAAGGGCAAACACTCTTTTATTTAATAAAGGTGACTTAGTCCTACTGTCTACGGTTAATCTACCAAAGCATGTAGTGACTTACTTGGGTAGCAGTAAACTACTACCCAAGTACATCGGCCCATTTCGTGTATTGCACCGCCTAGGCAATGCATACACGATCGAGTTACCACGTAAGATGCGAACGCATCTCACGTTTTACGTTGGTCGGCTTAAGCCGTACCATCAGTACGCTGCTTCTTCCGATGAAGAACGCCCTTGCGCTCAAGCATCTCGCAGAGAGCCTTGTGCTCCCGATGGTGGGCATCAACAAGGGTCTGAAGAGCAGCTATCTCATCCCGAGACCGATCAGCAATCCCACGAGCTACCCTTAGCTCGTCACGAAGAGGTGTCAGAGATCTCTCGTTCTCAAGCTGAGCAAAGGCAAACTCAGCTCGATGCTTCGAGGCAGTGTCCACCATCTGGAGACGCCTATTCCGCTCATGCTCGAGATCGTCGCGTAACCCTTGCGTTACGCGATCAAAGAAGCTCTCGGGAACACACCGATCCACATGATCGTGTGGAGAGCGTCTTTCCTCCTCCTCCACCTCCATTAGAGGACTCTCGCGGTGGCCAGCGCTATCTAGTAGAGCAGCTGTTGAACCACCGCGACGTGAACGGACGTCGGACGAGTTATCTCGTCCGGTGGCGCGGCTATCCCCCGTCCTGGGATTCTTGGGAGCCCCGCTCCCAATTGATGGTTGACGTACTGGGTCTGGTCGAGCAGTACGACGCGACACATCCTGTGCCGCAGAAGGACCGCCGGAGAAAGTCTTCCCGGCACGGTCGTAAAGGGATTTCAGGTTGTCAATCCCTTCGTACATCTCAGTAGAGACACGTACGCGCCACCACGGGCTGGTAAGGAGGTAAGCCTCCTTAGGTG